TTTGAGGGTTCTCAGTCAATTCTGACCAGTTCTCTCTTTAATGATCTTTGGGACTAGGGCACTGAGAAGAAATTAATGAATTACACTATTAAAAAAATAAACAAAAGCAACATGCTATTTTTCACCATAAAAACTGACATAAAAAGCTAGGTGATCAGAGGCAGGAAATGTGAGCTTCCTTTGCCACTGAGGGAGCTTCTGGTTTCCTTGTAAAAGAATTTGACATTGACTCCACTTTCTTTCTTCTAAGGTTCCATTTATGCAAACTTCTCCAGCTGAAAGACTTCTTTCCAAAGTCTGAAAAGATGCAAAACATCGGAGTGTCTCCTCCTCTCCCTACATACTAAGAGTGAAGAGCTAGATGCTGAGGCTGAATCTCAAATAGTCTCTGCTAAGTCACTCATAGACACTTATGATTTGTCACCTTCATACTTGCCAATGGGGCATGATGGTGCTAACCTCAGAAGATCTTTTTAAATTCTTTGAATGAGAATAGGTTCTAAGCATTTATTTCATATCATACGCTATTACAGAATTAATTTAAGGTCTTTTGCATAAATGTAGCATGACTAATGCTTAAAATTTCATAAGAAAAATGAGAGAAAGGGAAAATAAAGATGGAAAAATTAAGATGGAATCAGGAGCAAGATTAGCACATAAAATTCATTCCATAAAATCCGATACACAGGCCTAAACTCTAAGCTTCCCTGTGGTCACTGCAAAGAGGAAAATAAAATCACTTTTGTAATTCAGTATCTTATTTTCTAGCAATTAAAAAAAACAAAAACAGAAAACTGTATGTCTATGCTGGCCAGCCGCCACACAAAAAAAACAAAAACAACAAAAACAAAATCACCCAGAAAATTAACTCTACCTTTGAGCAATATAACTTCTTGTTGAATTCTCCAAGTTATACAAAAAAATAACTAAAAAAGACATTTTGCAGCTAACACAGCTGTAAATCAGCTCAAAAATGAAAGCTAACTGCCATAACTTGAGAGGTTTTGCAGCTAACAGAGCCACATTTCCACTAAAGTCATTTCTAGTTTCTAGTTGTGATACCAAGACCATATACATTACAAATAGAATATTATTTTCTCTTCTCTTATGAGCTACAGGTTAAAAAGGGACACTCTAAGCATATCTCCACCCATATTTGACAGCAAATCTGTATAAACCTGTCAACCTCTCCAAGGATGCATCCACTAGACAGCCTTAACCCTCATTTCTAGTGTCTTGGGGGTTTGGTTCTAACTCTGTCCATACTACTGCAGGCCACCGATGTCTGGAAAAGCCATGAACCTATATCCCCTGAGAGATCTGGTCACATAAAAACTTGGAAGACTTGTGCTATCATCTGTTCAAACACAGTTAGCAAAGGAAACAAGTGGGCCACTGCTGAGCCCTGCACAAGTCCATAAGAGATAATCATAAGGGCTCGAAGAGACAGTCAACTCCCGAGTGCTTTCTAGCAAGGCTGGCTCCCCTAGGAGTACATGGTTTTCTTATTTGGATGAAAAAGGCATTAACCAGAAATGAAGAGATTGATAAATCAGACTTCATAAAAATTAAGAACTTTTGAGCCGAGCCCGTGGCGCACTCGAGAGAGTGCGGCACTGGGAGCGCGGCGACGTTCCCGCCGTGGGTTCGGATCCTATATAGGAATGGCTGGTGCACTCACTGGCTGAGCGCGGT